TTTGGCATTTGAAAAATAAAACTTTACTTAATTAAAACTAAAAATAATAATATGTAAAAATAAAAATTAAAAAAAATGAAACTATAAAAAACAGAAAATTAACTTTTAAATTAAATTTATTTTAAATTTAAATAAAATAATAGCGTATCTTAATATGAAATAATTACAACAGAAAAATAAACGAAAAGTAACGAAAAAAAACAAAGTAGCGATTGAGTTAGTCGATAAACAGAGTAGCGTTGGAATATTAAATATTGATGTCATTAAAAGCGTATATACGTATAATTTGAATAATGTTAACTTCTTTAAAAATTGTTCTTAAAATATTAAGTAGTAAGTATATATATACATAATAACATAAAATTTACATTAAATGGTATACTAATGCAACTATTTTTCATACAAAAATTCTCGTAAATAATAAAGACAAAATTTTCCATTGATATCAATCAATTTGTTCAAAAACAAATTTGCACAACTCCATAGAAGAAGAAGAACTTTAGATATCTAGAGAAAGCAATATGGGTAATTTTTTTTATATTTTGTATGCTGTTGACCTTTCATTCATTGAATGTAATATAATGGGTACGTTTGCAAACCTCAGGTTTACCGAAGACAAATATTAATGATAATGACCTGTAGATAAAAGACTGGCAAAAAAAAAATAAATTCATATGGTTATATATACAACTATTCAATATTATTCCCTGCTTATTTTAAAATACATTAAATAATAGTGAGCCTTAAACTTATTTTGGTTCTACAGTCAAAACACTTAGTTATCATTAGACTGTAAGACAAGGAGTTAAACGACTATACCTATAGATTATTACTGCAGAAGATAAAAATCTGATAATAAAAACATGACACAAAAATTTTCTAGTCCTAACATTTAAAAAAACGAATATCCAAATCAAGAAAAATATGCGAATTGAATACATAGCCATTCAAACCATTTTGCGAAGATTCTTCAGACTTTCACGAATCTGGTTTACATGTCAATGCATGCACCTTTGTACTCTTGTTAAATAGTATATCCAAAATATAAAAAATATTTAACTATAAATATAAGTATAAACATATTGTTATAAATAAAAAGAATTTAAAAAAATAATAAGTAATCTAGAAAAGATTTAAAAACGGCACGGTGCAAGGGTTGATAAAAAGAAACAATAGGGGTATTCAGGCAACTAATTAGTTGCTTAGTAGTTGATTACAACAAAAATTTGCACACAAAAATGAAACTAAGCAGGGAATCAACTATTTCGGTGATTCTCAGATTAGTACAAATTTGATTAATAGTGCTGCCAGTCCCAAGTGTCGTAATAATAACTTAAAATGAACTTTTGTGTAGAAATTTGTTAGCTATCTCTCTCAGCTGTTTGAACTGTGTGTAAACAATTTTCACTGTTAACGTATGTTTCGCTTTTGCTGTTGATGCGAGTGCTGCCAAGGCATTTACACACAACAAACTAATCAGATTACGCATTTTGGGTCGTTCAAGCAACTGATTAACATCAAAATGCTAAATTTTTTTTATATGAAGTTTTTGAATCAACTAAGCAACTAATCAGTTGCCTGAATACCCCTAATATATGACGTAGATTCACTTTAAATCACTTTAAAAAGTAAATTTTAACAAATTTTTATAAATGCTTAGTAAAAAATAAATAAAATGTTTATATAATATATAATTTGTTTTGTGTTTGCCTGTTCTTTAATTGAGTTATCGTAGTGTAAACACTTAAACCAATATAGACTATAACTGTAATATATAATAATATGATTATTTTTAATTATTAAAAATATGAGATATAAATTATAGTCTATAATCAATTTAAATGAAATAAAAAATTTATGCAATGTATAAAAATTGTGTAAATAGTTATGGCGACATGTCTTTTTTTAAAAATATATGGCTGCAATTAATATTTTAGCTTGTTATATTTTTTTTATAAAACATACGACCAAGCATATGCTAATATTATATAAAGAGTACTATAAAAGACGACATAAAATTTGTTCTACGTTTTTTTTTTAAAGTTTTAACACTAATATTCTAATAGCTAGTATTAAAAGTCAAATATTTCCTACAGGTTTTTCTAAGGTCGTTAAGTCTGATATATTAAATTTCATTTAAAACTTAATATTGTCTGACAGTAATAAAATTCGATACATTCAGACAAAATCCGAAAAGGCTGATGTATTAAAAACACTTTTGTTTATTTCTATTAATTATATATAGAAACTAAATAACTATAGTCTGTTAAAATTAATATTAATAATAAGTCTGACGAAGTGATAAACATTAATCCAGTCAAGGCGTAAAGAGGGGTTTTGAAGATACCTCGAGTTAATAAAGAGTAAAAGTGTTCAAGTGCACTGGCTCAAATAGCTTCAACATAAAATAAAGTAAAATAAATAAAATGAAATTGTGATAAATAAAAAAAATGATGGAATGAACGTTTGAGTTTTATACTACATCAAAAATAACGTTGTGGAGACGCTGTGTTAATAGGAATACAGCGATGAAGAATTTTTATTTATAATCGCAAAACATGGAATTAGTAACTAACAGAGGTAAAGTTTCAACTAAAACTGTAGAAACAATAAAAGAAAGTAAAAAATAAATTAAAAAAAATAGACAATATAATCAATAGAATAAAGAGGATGACATATATATAGTTTTAGTAATATTAATTTATGTTAGATCGTGATCCTGATGATGACTCTCAAGGAAAGCCGAAATATAGAAAATAAAAAAAATATATAACAAACGTTGAATTATTTAACAAAAGGGAAAATATTATAAAAAATCATGTCGATAAATAAATTCAAACTTTTATAATAATAATTAATAATATATTTAATAATATGTATAATATTATTTATTTTATTCCTAAAATAATTTTTTACTTTTCTTTCACAAAGTGAGTGCAAACTTATATTAAGTGTGACAAAGTTCTTTTCTACAACCTTTAATTTCTTATATATTTCAAAAATTAGTAGTTTTTTCGTAGTTACTTTTATTATATTCGCAAATGTCTCAAGGACAATTTAGATCAAATTTCCTATAAAGAAATAATAAAGCAAACAATTTGAAATTGTTGCAAAGATAAGATAACAGCAAATTATTTGTTATACAACCATATGCGAACGCATTTTTTAGAAGATAAAATAAATAAGCAAAAAACAAAACCATTGCTGTAGATATAAAAAATAGAAACCTCAAGTTATTATACTACACCGTGAGATATATAAAAATAGGCATTTAGAGGCATATATTGCTATTATTTTATTTTAAAAATATTTCTCCCAAAAACGAAAAAACACATTGGATTCTTAGTGCCAGGGATCGAAAAAAAGTCCCAAATATTTGAATTCATTAAATAAAACATTATACGTACACAAATAAGCAAATCGGTTATCTCAAAATGTAAATGCGAAGAGAACTTGTGAAACAAAATATGCTCTTTAATGGAATATTCCGAAGAGAATAGGTAAAGAATTGAAATTTGATTTTTGTTGTATTATATTATTATGCATTAGAAATTAGAATAATCTATTAAAAAAGTTATAAATTAAAGGTTGAAAATTGAAAAGTTAATGGCGGTAATAAAATACTGTTTTCGAAATACATTATAAAATAATATATTATTATTATGAAATACATATATAATATTAATAATAATATTATAAAATACATTATATAAAATAAAATCAGCTACAGAGAGTTTCTTCTAATTATATAAAAGTGTAATAAGTGATAAAAGGTTAGCTTTGTAGAAGTCTGTAGAAGAAGTTTCAATACTTCACGTACATAATATTAGTACAAGTAAAATTTCAGAGCATCGCTAAACAAAATTGGGCAGATGAACCCAAGATTTTAGATCTCAAGATTGACCTGGTCCCAACTGGAAAAGAAACGTAACAGTCAATAGCTTCATCAACTAAGTCGTAACCTGCTCAGCACTACGGTATTGGTACTGACGGGTCACTGGTCACTGCGCACAAGGAAGGCATACTATGAAACCGGATTTACCCTATAATGACTTTTGTCGTGGTTGTGACTATGCAATTGAGAATGAAACTGCACACTATCTCAGGAGTCCATGTCTATCGTTAGCTAGGAAAAAATTTAAAATCTTTGGTGCTCCTTTTCTTACAGACCTGATAGAGCTCTCATTTTGCAAAATTAGGGACTTGTCGAAGTTTATAAACTTCTCAGGTTTGTGTATTCGTACGGTGACCTCGTACGGAGATTTACATCGTTAAATCGATTCGGTTTGTAGTGTTATTTATGAATATATATGTATTGGATCTGGTTTAGTTTATATTGTGTATAACGTTTTCTTCACTACGTTTAAAATATGTAATGTCTTCTCTAAACCACAATAAATAGAGCAAAACAAATTTACTTCAAATTAATGTCAAATAAATGTAAAATTATTTAAAAAAACAGGAATAGACAGTCAATATAACGAATATCCAAATTAACAAACTTAAAAATTTTTGAATTTAAAGAATAATAAAATACTTTAAAGTATTTATTAGATTTAAAGAATTTTTGGATTTAACAAATGGAACATATAAAAGATCTTTTTTTTTAATTTGACATCTACTGTACTGAATTTAAAAGTATTTCGAATATTCTTTCATGTACTAGTATGTAGCTCTTTCAATTCATTCATTCTTTTAAAAATATCCAAAATCTTTAGAAAATTTGTACTCATTTCAAATATATTTACTAAATATAACATATTTTTGATATATGCACTAAACCTAAAATAATTACAAGTAAAACTAAGTAATTGTCCAAAATAAATACTTTTTCTAGTACAACTATTTGGACTGATGCCAAGGCTAAGATCGTTATACATCAAGTCATGATAAATATTTTGTTTTTAATTTTTTAAGTTAACGTATAAAAATTGTTCATAAACTTTATATATTTTGTATTGAAAATTTCATATAATTTATTTGATTTAATAAATTGAAGTTCATTCCTATAGTTTTATAGGTTTATAATATAATATATTATAAAAATTAAAAAGATATATGAAATGCATCACTTAAGTACGTAGACAACATATGGAATTTGCAGGTATTCACAAATCTATATGATATTAAGAAACCACTAATCTTCGATTGACATGTGTCATAACTTTATGACGTTAATTTTTCAGCCATTATCTATTTGCAGATTTAAACAAAATGTAACATGGAAAGCGACTTGCCGAAACTGTACTTAGTTTTAGACTAAAAATTAATCAATCACTTTACAAAAAAATAATGGAAATGTCAGAAGTGTTAAAATGAATGTATTACTCTTAAAGAGGACTATGCTGCTGAACAAACCCGTATTCTGCTAAGAAATTGTTTAATTGTCATTCTACTAATTGTCATACAAATTATTGAGACACAACTTATAAAATTTTACGAAGATATCTATATTTTGTGTTGAAAGTATCCAGAATTAACACTGTACAGTACTACTAACTTAAAAAAATTTTTTGTAATATATTTTACAGACTTTTTTCAAATGATAAATTTCGAATATTTTTATGTAGAATGTATACATATACCCTGTGTATTTTTCCCGTGTTTTAGAACTCATTGTTTTGTCTGTTACAGACAAAGTGTTGTAAAAATGTACCTTAATGCTTGCAACACAGTGAGATACTTCCGTTATCCCATAAAGCACTATATATATATATATACATATATATACTTAGCTAAGATTACATTAGAAGATTATATCCAAGATTAAAGTTGGATGCCTTTATCCTCCAGCTATTGTTTAACTGGACAATCAAAATAAATATGCCATAGTATGTTCAGACATATATTTTTATAGGAAAAGCTCCTTTACTTGTATATTTTCACGAGATTTGATATTAGGTATTAAAACTTATATATTACAATTAAAAACTGTAATGATCAATATAAAATTGATTATAGCTAAACATATAAGTTAATTAATTAGACCAACGTTTATATATAGAATATTTCCTTTTTAGATTCTTTCTATAAATTCATGATTAAATTCCTTATGTTATTTATTTTTTCACTTCTTTTTTTAATATCCAGGAATCGTGGACGTCCAAAAAGTACATGGAGAAGATCGATGAAAAGGAAAACTAACAAATTATTCAGCGAGCTTAGAGCATTAGCGCGTTATAGGGGTGTCTGGAAAGCATATGTAAATAGTCTAATTTGTTGAACTGTAGTTGTAATGTATAGAACATGTCAATAATAATAATAATTCTTCATCCCACCAATATAACAAAGGAACCTACCTACTCAATATAATGCAATAGTTTAGATTCATGTTCTTATAAGATAACATATAAGACAAAGATCTGCCCTAAGACAATAAGATAATTCAATAAAAAATTCGATCGATTAAATATATTAGAAGTTTGTAGTATAGCTGACACTGTACAACCGACAGTTCAGACATATGTTTTTATAACAGCTCCTTCATTTAGATGTTATATATATTATATACTACTATTAAAAACTGGAATCATTAATATAAAGTTGATTATAAATGTATATTTAATTTCCGACACAACTAACCTTTTCGTTTGTTCCGTATAATATATCTATAAAGTGATTAATGTTCCTTTAAAGCAGTTAGTATACATAGATATATGTATGTAATTAAATTTATTTGTTTGCTAACAAGGACATATGTATATTATGAAAGAATGAAGGATTTATTTAAAACGTTTATATGCAATTTAAAATTAATATCATTTTTGATTTGAACTGACTTTAAAACACACGTGTTTTTTTTTCAGCGACGCACAATATTTTTCATACACGTTTATATTTAAAAAAGTGCACAAACTTTTAATACAAGTAGACGACGCTCGAAGCAAATAAGCGATAATCAAGTGCGATCCGATATTACTCGATTGCTCTCTTTTGTAAGAATTGAGCACAATTTTTTGTTCGTCTTTTTAGAAAATCAAAAAGGTACCTTAAAAATGTGCATAAGAAATTAACAAAAAAAAAATAAATAAATAAATAAAACGTGTATTTTAATGTTGAATTTAAATTTTAAAAATAATACACACTAGTTTAAACAGAAATAGAAGGTGTTATATATCACATGTACTCTTACAGTTTGTGTTGCATAACTTTAAATTAAATTTATGCATGCATATATATTTTATATAACAAAAGTTAAGATTTGTTTATTTCTTAATTTAATAAATAAATAAACCAAATTTAACTAAAAAAAGGTATTTAAATTCTTTTAATATATTTAATATTGATTTATTTAAATTCTATTGTTATTTCAATATACTGAGATAATATTATATATATTGAGATTCTTTTCAAAACTTCATTAAGTAATCAATTATTACTATTATTTGTTCATAAAATAATACTGTAGTATGTGTTAACAAATACAAACACAAAAAATTAAATATTTATACTTTTAAATAAAATAATATGCTGAATGAACTCAGAGATTTTAGTGTATAAACAAAAAAATTTTGTACAAAACTGAGTACAGAATTTCGTTTAACATATTGAGAGCGCAACAACAATTTAAAATGCACTGAAAATATAAACAAAAACAAATTTTAACAAGCATAAAGCAGTAACACACAAAATGATAGCGTCATTCAAAAATGATACACGTAATATAAAAAAGCACAAAAGAGCAAACAATAACATTTATTGCTATGTGTGTATGTGTGAAAGTTTAAAAGTCATTGCTATACATTTGAGTAGTCAAAAAAAAAAAAATTATGATGTTATTGCTGGTTTTTTGAATACAGACTTCGAACTAAACGTATTATTATATTATTATCTCTGTTTTTAAATGAGCAAAATAAAAATTATCTTCAGCACGTCACAATATCATTAAAACAAATGTTGCTATTAATTGTATTAATATTATTTCTATTATATTGTATTTAATAAAAAATATTTTTATTATTTCAGCATTACACATGCTTAACTTTCTACTTTGTTTTAATTATTTAAGAAAGTTTATAAGAGCAATATTTATCGTGTTTACAATAAATGTACTCTGATAAATTGATGTTCACTTTGTTTTTGGCGTAAAATATTTATATATTTACTAAGCATTTACGGAACATTTAATTTGATATGAAATTTAATATTTAAGTCTAAATAGTTTCAAAAAATAAATAAACAAATTACGCCCGGAAAACAACAGACGCAAAAGAGTATATACCATGAGTAAGCTAACGATAAAAACTGAGGCACAAAGAGTAATCTAGGGAATTACACTCTTTGAAAGTTATAAGAGACATAAGCTTAATTACTTTTTCATAGTGTTTATTGAATATGATTATATGTTTTTGTTGCTATATAAACGTAGTAAAGAGAAATTTATTTTATATGTTAGCAACAAACTCTTCTTATAGTGGCACAAATTATTATTCCTGTTTATAAATTTTACATACAAAAGCAACAACAAGTTTTAGATATAATAAACCTTGCATTATTGTGTTACTTTTTTTGTTTTTCTAGAATCAAAAATTAAAAATCACATTTCATAATTTTATAAGGGTCTAGGTCTATTCAGAAAAAGTTCTATTCAAATCAAATAACTGTGCCATATATTTACGTTATTTTTTTTTTTCTTTTTCAGTATAGATCACATTTTTTGCCCGCACTGATACGAGTAATTTACTTTGAATGCTCGATATGTGCGATACATATACATCTATATGGTAAATTAAACAACAACACTTCCCTCAATAAGTGTTTTTAAATGAAAAGGAATAAATCAAACCACACTGTTTTCGTTATCATTTAGAAAATTGGAAAATGCATAACGGATAAAAGTAGGCGTGCTAACATAATTTGAAGCAATTCTTGAAATTTTGACACACCAGCTGTTAAGCTTTACAAAAGCTACGGTGAGCGAAATGACATAACCATAATGTCATTAGTGGATTGCCGTCAAAATGGTTGATTCTGCTCAATAAATTTATGTAAATATTAGTCACAGGAAAATTTTCAAACATTTTTTCATTTTTAAAACTTGTAAAATAAATGGTAACTAAATGTACAAAATTCCTTTTTCCTTTAAAATTTTCGTTTTTTTTTTAACAACTTGCAGTTTTATTTTTATGCTCACATGGGTGTTTGACTAATTGAAAATAGAACTTTTGAGCACGGCTGAACAGAATAATAGAAAAGAACATACACATATTACTTGTGTGTAAGAATGATTGCATAAAATTTGTCATTTAGCAGTTTATATATACATATATAATAGAAACTAGCACCAAATTCTATTCTATTAAAGAAATTAGATATTCAGAAAAAAAATACCAAAACTTTTATAGATTTATTATAAAATTACACACATATAAGGTTCGTTAAAATAATTAAAAATTTATAACAATTTGGGCAGCGCAAATATTTATTATATACATATATATGTTATACACACATAGCTACACACATTTGTATTTAAATACTTGTATAAGACGATTGAGTAAACTACACATTATTTCACCGTACTTAGCTAACTAACCCTGTATTAGGCACAATTTTTTTATTTTAAAAACAATAAAGGCAATATTAATTATTGCAGGTTCGACTTAAATTTTCAATATAAAGTTTGTTGTTGTTGGTTTACAATATATACCTGTCTGTATATGCATAAATGTGTATGTATATTTGGGTTTGTATATTTTTATTTACTCACATTAATTAATTGCTGCGAAGTTTCTATTTTTTACTTTTGTTATGCACTTGTTTTTGATGTTATTAAAATTGGTTTTTCGCTGTTTGTTTTTTGTTTTTGTCTTTAAACATTAATAAATTTGCAATTTTTTTTATTTTTTTTGCACAGATAAAAAAAAACTTGATTTTAATAACAATGAGTACACAAAAAATAAAATGTTTCTTTATTGTGAAAAAACATATTAAAATTTTTTTACATTGCTTATAACTTTTTATATTTATATGTTATTATGTAAATTTTTTTTCTACATAAATTTATACTTTTCTTCTAAAATATATTTTTTAACTTTAAATAGATGAGGCCAGTCGAATTAAATCCAACCGTCTGGTCGAAAGGCACAAAACAAATTACGACGTCAACATCTCCTCCACGACACCAATGAAAAAATAACAAATAAAAAAACAAACATCAGCAGAAAAAAAACACGTTGTTTGCGATATGAAAAATGAAGAGACACTCAGAGTGCTAATGTTGTTGCTATTTTCTTTGATTCTGATGGTTATTCGATTTTGTATTATTTTCCAAACCATATCTTTACAATAATTTAATAAAACTACCACATACCACATGGGAGCCAATAATAAAACGAAGAGCATTATGAACTGAACTATACACTAATTGATGAGCAGAGATGGTGAGAGTAAAATGGTAAGAGAAATAAAAGAGAAATAAGTGTAATTGTTGCTGCGAATACAAACAAAACAACATCAACAACTAATAATAAAAAGAATAATTTTATAATCTTATCTTTTTTAGTTATAAAATAAGTGAAGCATGCAAAAGAAACAGTTAAATACATTGCTTAAAAATCTGAAAATACATATCTCATATATAAAAGTTTCAGTTAAATAAAAACGTTAAGAATTAATTAGAACAAAAATTTCATCATCAACCAACCAGTATTATTGAACATTGATTTATAGTAATTTATAGTAAATATTATACAATGAATTGTTAGGTTAGTCTAAATTACTGCAACTATTGAAAAAAGTTTACATATCTATGAATATTTATCTAATTAAAGTGTTAAAAATATATAGAAATTGTACACGTTTTTCCATTTGTTTATTTTAGTTTTCTATTTTGTTATGTATGTGTGTATTGTGCTTAAACAAAAATTCTAAATATGTATATGGATTAAAGCTAATTTGAGCTGTATGAGTAGTAAAAGTTATACTTCTGACACTGTTGCCGTTTCACTGAATTTATTTTATTTGAAACACGTGTTGTATTGATTTTTAAAACAATTTTTAATTTTCTTTCTTTTTTCAAAATAAGGTACAATATTTTTAAATTTTTTTCTTTTTCAAAATAAGTTATATTTTTAATTACTTTTTTTATAATAAGATACAATATTTTTAATTTTTTTTTTTCAAATAAGTTACAATATTTTTAATTTTTTTTAAACATATGGTTGAAGTAAACAAGCAAAATCTTATAAATCAAAATGGTATAATACTATACCTAAAGTTAGTACATCTCACGGATATGTACTGAAACATTTAAAAAACTTATGTACCTAGTTATCTATCCCAAATTATACTTAGATAATACTGGTTAATACTGAACAACCACTATTAACTTTTAGTTTATTTAGAAGTTAGTCAGGGTCAGCTGTAGTCAGGGGCCTTAGTGATACGGAAAGATGTATAATCTTCAAATTGATTCTTATCTACGATAAAGTAAGTTAGATATCATTTTATAGAAAAAATATAAATATGAATAGGAATAATGATATTTGTAACCCGCATTTAAGCATATTAACAGCTATAAAAATAATATTCAAAATGTCTAACAAAACGTCATTAATTTAAGTGATTTCAATAAGTGAACATATTCCGAAATTCAAAACACCAAAAGAGTGTCACTAGTAGGTAGAGCAGTCATTATCACAGTTTCCAAAATAAAAATGTGGGCATAAATGGAGAGAATAGAAAAATATTTATGAACATTGAACATTGTGAGCATTAAATATGCAAATTAAGATAAAAAATTTTATTTCAGCGATAAGTACTGGTGATAAGATTTTACAAAACATCTAACACTCATTCACTACTTTAAAAAAAAAGAAAAAGATAATAAGATTGTTAGCTCTGCAACAGTATACAGAAGTTCGTAAGAGCAGTTTTTAGACCCCTTATGTTTAAGCAGTTAGTACAAAAGCTTGACTAAATAAAATAAATATAATATATATAATAAAAGATGGGAAGACTAAATGATATGCAGACATATTAAGTTGGCCGCGTTCTTACAAGAAAAAATCCAGTGCACTCATTAATATACCCTTCAAAGATATGAGTCTTAAGATAAGTTTGTTGACGGAACATAGCCGAATAGGGAATCATACTAAAAGAATGAATCTTCCGTTTAATCATTCATGTCGCAGTTATTAAAAAGATGATGAAAGTGCCTCACTTCTGCTTTGTTACTACTGAGCTTGGCGCCGTTGTACTGTTTTAATGACTTTCTTTTATTGAGATCTTTACCAACACTAAGTCTAAGATCTTACAAATCGAAACGTTACTATTTTTCAAAATACGTGTTAAAACTGGTCAAGTCGATTTATTACAGCAAACGAAAAACATAACTTTGCTATTATTGTGTGCCACTTAAATTCATTTTAAACACAAATCTATTGTCGAGCAGGAACCAATTATATCTAAAAGAAATCAATGCTCTACATCCTGGAACTTCTCGTCAATTACAACGCCTATATGCCGTTGTCCCGTATGTTCCAAAAAAATACTACAGCAAAAAATCTCACGAGCTACAACAAAAACAAAAGAAACCAGTCAAATTTGGTTTCATGTATGGCCGGCTCTACGTCCCAGAGCCACATAAACTTTTTGAAAATAATAATTTTATTTTTTTTAAATAATAATAAGTAAAATTAAATATAATAAAATAATAAATCAGAACTATATATATATATTTAAATATATATTTTTTATGATTGTATTTATACGGATACAGTTCTTCTTGAAAACGGCAACAATATGTATAACAATTTTTTTTTTGCACTGTCCAATAATATTGTATAATTACATGCGCGTGCTCAATATAGTAACAACTTAAATGACAGCCTTGCCAGATAATGAGGGAATGAAAGTTTTACAGTTCGTTAAAGAAATGAATGCATATCAAACACATACTATATACTACATCTATCTAATTTTATGGTATCAACAAAAGAAAAAACTTTTTCTTAATACTTGAAAAAATTGCATAGTAGTTCACACTTTTAAGAGCTGCTACGTGTAAATGTATTTGTCTTTTAATTTATTTATATATATTTATTTAAGTTTAAATGATATATGTATATATATATATTGACAAAAAAAAAGCATCTAACATTTTTTGAAATTTATTCAGAAGAGGAGTTTAGTTAATGGTAGTATAGTGAGGTTACCTTTAGTCAGCTAAATAAGCATGATGCGGCAAAATTAAAAGAGCAAACATCAGAAAATGTGTAATAAATGAGTACGCAAAACGTAAACAAAATTAAAGTCAAATAAACGTACAATTGAGTAAAAATATACAGTTATATTAGTATACAAAAGAAAATACATTGAAGCGAAAATGTGGTCAGGTCATTCAATGCACTTATAAAGCGTTATATTTATTAAAGTGTGGTTTTTAAAAATTTAAGTATTTTAATGTAATTTAACTAAATAAGTGCATCAACAATGAGTAAATTTAAGGTTATTTTTATTTTTAGATTAATGGCACATTCATTTATGAGCTAAGCACATTTTGTTTATATAACAACAAAACTGAAAACAATGACAAATACATATTCTCGCATAAACAAACGATTGTACTCTTCATTGCACACACAAGGCTCTCTTAAATTTTTATGCTGATTCTCCAAACACAAACAGTAAACAAACTAGAAAACTCCAAATTATTAAGAATAAAAACACATATCTATAAAAGTATGCGTAAACGTATTTACGCACATATAACGCAAATCAAAACTTTCCTTTCCACTTGCAGACAAAATAAAAAAATCAGCGGGAATAAAAATTTAAAACAAAATGCGAGTATCGAGTATTTACGCTGCTATGCGCGACTAAATACTCTTTGAGTTGCGCTCTTAAAATTTCAAAGTTTTGTACTCTGTTTTACATTCCAACACATTCTCAGTCTATCGAGTATTTATGATATCTCACAAAAAAAGATATCAAATACGCAGATACATTTTTAAATTTGGTTATTTTTTGTTGCTGTTGCCATTTTCTGTTTCTCATTTAACCTGCATTCTTCCGAAAAACATTATCTCCGGCCGGTTTTTTGTTGACATATTTTGTTTTGTATTTAACGGTGTATAAAAAAAATATTTTCAAATCCTTTGCAAATTAAGGTTTTAATATAAAATTTATTACAGGGTCAATTTAAATAATTATCGCCTTCTAAAAATAAAAATGTATTATTATTAATAGAAGCACATATATTTTTAGCCATACAAAATTGCAGTATCAGATTTTAAATCTTTCTATTTTATATTAATTCAATGTAGTATAAATGTTATTTTGTATTTTTTAAATATGTACATACATATGTTTTTAAAAAATAAACATATACATGTATTATTATAAAACAAGTTGTATTCTTGTATTTTTTTATTTATTTTGTATGCGTATTTATAATAGAAAAATGTAGGACAAATGAGTAAACTAACAATGCTGAGAGATAAGATACTCCTCATGCATTTATACATTTAATCATGTGAGACATAATGAAAATAAAAAAATAAACAAAAACATCAAATTTTATGGGTTGCCAACCAAATCCAAAGTTTGCATTTTGTTATAGAGTTTTTAAGATGTTTACATTGATGTTTAATAATAAAAATTTTAAATTGAATATAACTTAAATTTAAACTAACTAATGTTTGACAAAAAAGTTGCACTTCGAAAACTTTGCTTATACTATGTTCAGACACACTTTATTTTGTACATTTCAAATGCAATTATGCATAATACAAATTTAGCAAAAGATAAATTTGACAGTTGACTTCAATAAAATATTTTGGAAATATTTTGAAAGTAGTGCAAATTTTTAAATTTGAATATAGAGAAAGAACTGTAACTGTTATTAATTCAAAATAGAGTGAAAATTAATAATTTACATAATTTACCTGAAATCCACTAAATTTAATAAAACTACTGAATACCATCCTTTATAGTTATAATAATTAACTTTTAAAATTTCCCATATACAAATGATGTTTGGAGAATGTTATTTTTAACATTCGATTTGTAAACAAAAACATGATTTCCTTAATTTGGTATACCTTAATTTCATTTTTACGAAATTAAGGAAATTTTGCTATCTGAACATAGTATAAGCAATAGAGCCAAGAGTAGGATCAAAGGATTTAGGATTTATCTGTTAAATATATATAAAAATATTTATTAAAATATAGTAAATCTATATTTTATATTCCCATATATACCCATAATTTATCAGATCAGTCGAAACAAACATTTTTAATACAATTTAACATATTTATAATAATATTGGTCAGTTTTCCATCATTTAAATAAACTAATAACTATAAAAAACCTCAGCTGCAAACATACTATGTTAAAGTGATAAAAATAAGTACACAAAATTGAATATTAGTAAATATTAATTACATAAGATCCAAAGATAAAAATTTATTTTGTTATTCTTAAGTGCATTTAGTGATTGCGAGTACAAGAGTTATTCATAAGTTAGCATATTACATACGGCGTAGTTATGACAACACAAAAAATGTCTTAGAGATATTTTAATAAGCAACAAACATAGCTAATGAAATACCAGAACAATGTATAGTTTCTTTAGAACGTTTGATATCCCAGTGATTAATTGTAAAACCATAAGCATTTT